TGGTTTCCCCATGGTGGAAGGGTTACTCTTGTTTTTGTTTTTGTTTTTTTAAAGCTTAGCATAATATCCTTTAAGTGAATCCATGTTGATGCAAATAACAGAATTTATAGAATTTTTTTCTTTTTAAAAGCTGAATAGTAATTCTGTCTAGATACAGACCACATTGTTTGTTCATCCACCTCTGATGGGAACTAGGGTTGATTCTGTATCTTTGAGACAAATACTTTAATACAAAGATGGGCAGGACCAGTGAGATTATCTTAGGGATAAGACATTTTCCCTATAAGCCTGGGGACCTAAGTTTGATCCCTGGAGTACCCATAAAGGTATAAGGAAAGAATTGATTCTACAAGTTTGTTCCTTGACTTCCACATGCATGCCATAGTGTGTGCATGCAGACACACATGCATACAATAATACAATGAATTATAAATAAAAATTTAAATGAGCAAAGGTGCTAAACATATTTCACAAAGGGAAATATACAAATGTATGATAGGTACATAAAAATATTCAGCCACTAATCATTATCAATTATTATGGAAATACACATAAAACTCACAATAGTATATCATCTAATATCTGTTAGTATGACTTTTATCAAAAATACAAGAAGTATCACATTTTGGTGAGTATGTGTAATAACTGAAATACTTTACACAATTATAAATTACACAATTTTCATAAGTGTAAATTACTATAACCATAAAGGAAAATGGTGTGGAGGGTCCTTAGAAACTATAGATGAAGCTAACATAAATTCCAGTAAAAAACAAAAAGAAAAAACAACCCCCCCAAAAAAATCCCTCAGTATTTTGAAGAGCTATCTATATTATAGTGTTGCAACAATGAGCTAATTTTAATGACAATGACAAAAAGAGAAGTTGATCCAAGTATTATTTAAAATGAAGATCAAGTAAGTTCTACTAATTTTCCACTTCTCCTTTATTGTAGCCCACAATGTCATGTCTACAGTTCACTCACATCTTATAGAAAGCTTCTTGTTTGGAATTCTAAACACAAAATTGTTTCAACTGTGGATGTCTACTAATTTTGGTGATGATGTCCACCAAATAAGTCTCATGTTTTCTGTGTTATACCTCATCTTTAATTTTTGTAAGTGGGAGTATGCTTCAAATTAAGTGGCATAGAAAGAGTCAATGTAAAAATATATCCATCCTTGGAAAACACATACCATGAAAAAAGTTTGTATTTTTTCAGTAGAAGATTTTTGTTCAAATGATCTAACAAAAATATAAAAGGTATGAACAGCTGTACATAGAGAACAAGGTATCAAGGTCTGTTAAACAAATACTAGTGTAAAGCAAAGGAGAATTTGGCAAAAATCACAATTGTAAGTACTTTACTATTCCTTTCCTAAAGAAACCATTTCATGACTAGTTATACAAAAAATTGTGGGTAGTAAAAGATTTAATAAATTATACACTGGGTTGCAAGTTATATAAAGAATTTTATTTCCCAGAACAGAATGTACATACTTTGCAGATACAATAGGCCCTCGATATCTGCAGATTCCCCAACACCCAGTTCCAAATTGAATATGCATCGTTCCTGAACATATAGAACTTCTTATAATTACTCCCTAAATAATAAAGTATACCAACTACTTATAAATCATTTACATAATATAAGGTATCAAGCTATCTAAAGCCGATTTAAAGTGTACAGGAGGCTATGCATGGGTTACATGCAAATGCTACATCATTTTACATATGATTTGAACAACCTCAAAAATAGTGTAGGAGAGTAGGGTTCCTGGAACCAATGTCCTGTAAACACAAAGGATGACTGAGCCTGTATACTATTTCAAATCTCAGTTATTACAGTATTACCTACATTTGAAGTGAAATCATTCTAGGGATTAGGGAGAGGACTTAGTGGTTAATGACTTAGTGGTTAAGAACATTGACTGTTCTTACAGAGGACCCATGTTCAGTTCCCAGAACTTACATGGCAGCTAATAACCATCTATAACCTCAGTTCCAAGGAATCCAATGCCCTCTTCTGGCCTCCACAAGCACTGCATGACACAGGTGTACTCACATGCAGGCAAAACACTCATTCATAAAATAAAACTAAATAAAAGGGAATTTACTAAGAAATCATTCTAACTACATACAAATTAAATATACTTTTCTTGATAACACTTAGATAAAAATTAAATTAATAGATCAAGTAAGACTAACTACTAGAAAAATGTCATATTATTAGCCTGTTTGCCACAATTACTTCCTCAGAGAAGTATAGCAGATGTTGCTAAGTAACCACACTAGTATCTTTTGGCACAACCTCAGAATCATGTTCAACCCAGACTTCTGATTCAGTCCCACAAATGATTTGGAGTTGGCCTGTGAGAGAGATAATACCTACTTACCAAACCTATACTATGTTTTTCTATCGCATTTAGGAACAAGATGGTGGAATTCAGGTCCATGATTAAAAATAGTTTTGAAAGCTCTGGGTAGAGAAACTGGGAAAAACAAATTTTCATTTATTATAAAACAGAAAATGGTTATATTTGTTAAAAAATTTACAATATGGAGTAAACAGAGTAAATTAATAAATTAAGCTACCATGAGTCCTTAATAGTTTGATATATGATAAATTTACCAAAAAAGGGAATATACTTTCAAATAAGTTAGAAATAACTAGTTAAAAAATATAAGGAAACTTTAATTATTTTTACACTGCCAAAGATTTATAAAATAACAAAGTATAAACTTAGGAAGGTTGGACTTACACAAAAATTACAAGTTATTGAGATTTATAGAATTTTAATGAATTGCAACAGAGAAATATCTCTTTGAGATTCTAGAATAACAGATGCGTTACACTCATGTCTGAGAAGGAAAAGACACAACACTGAACCTTAAGAACTTCCAACTAATCAATCAGTAAAATTGAACCATTTATAACACCAAGAGGTTACAGAATCCAGCTAAAGTTTTAAAACAATGAGAGAATTATGGCTCAGTTGAGATGTTTTCCCTCTAGTTAGTGAAGCTTATGCTACCATTAATGTTAATACTCTGCTCATTTTGCTTCTAGGTGAGCTGACTGGAAGGTCTGGAATATTGACCCTGGCCATCATTGGACTTTTTCTAAACTCCACTAGTTTTAAACCAGGAGGAGTCAAAGCATTTCTTCTCATGTAAATAGCTAGCCTATTCTTACTTTGTTTCATACCCTGGAAGTTGTAAAATTGCAATAATAATTATGCCTACATGGTGTGAGTAAAATATTGACATGGTGACTATGCCATGAGAAGCTCCAATATTCCTTTTTGGCATATGGCCTGAGATCTTTTCATTTTAGATGAAATTTATAACCTCCTCATGAGTTCACACTGGTTCTTTTTTTCTTACTGAGTCATATCCCCTTTTTTTGGTGAAGATTTTGACTTCTATCACTATTCTCCGTGTTGTCAATAAACATATACTCTTCTGGATTTCAGGTTCTGAACTGGCTCCATACCTATGAGTATGCCCACCATCACCCTCAAGCCTCTTACTTTCATAAATAACCAATACATCATGACAATTCCTGGAATCTATTTAAAATATGACATGCACCAACCCCGACTCAAGATGATAGTGTTGAATACTGTCGAATGCCTTCACAACCTAAATAAGATCCACTCTACTGTCTCAATGAGATGGCATCTCCAACTCTCTCATCTTTTTTACTTAGTTCCTGCTGGTCCCTCATTTTTGACAACTCTGCAACCACTACACCAATTTATTAATTCACTTATCCTTCAGTGAGTCACCCACCTTATATTCACAATTCCCCCTTATCCAGGTTGTTTTGGCTTTTCTTCTCCTTTACCCAAGTACTGAGCTATTTTCATGGCAAAACTCTGATTTGTGCTCCCTGCCACCTCTGTGACTCCTGCCACTTTCACCACTCTTGGCTAACCATGATAATCAAATTGCAGCTCCTCAGTCATGCTGAACACACTCCCCTGTTTGGACTTGAAACCAGTTCTGGAATGTGCTTCTTCTACATAGTTCAGAAGTGAATGCCTCACTTTCTTTCATGCTTCTGTTCATGTATAACCTTGCTAGAATGAACTTCCCCAAATAGAAGGGACCTCCTTGCCAGCTTATACAACCTTTCATGCCTGTCAAAATGACTTCCCCTAAATCTATTATTGTCCCTCCAGGCTATTGGTTGTGCAGCTTTGGACAATAAAATAATAAAGATGCCTAAATCTACTGGTATTTGCCTATGACACTTATGGTAAGAAAAGGCTGTGCTCTGTTGAAATCTTAAAAGATCTATATTTACCAAAAAAGTAACTTTTAATAAATATTCAGAAGCTTTTGCATTGTGCATAAATTATTACAGATGCACACAGACACATATACACATGCACACACACACATCCACCAACACATGAACGTGTGCATCCCATATATCTACTGGATGAGTTTTCAGTTTGTCTATTTCATACACAGATGCATCTTATGAGGCCTTAATATCATCACCTTAATATCGAAGCCAAAGACACATGCTACAAGTAAAACTAAAGTCCAAGCTCACCAATCAAATAAAATCAAACCATATTTAACAGTACAAATGATTGTGCACCATGACTACTGTTTTGAGTTTATATCAATAACTTCCCAGCTTTCCAGAAAACTCAGTTCCTTGTGATCACACACCGCTGGTTCTTATAGTCCTTCCACTTCTGCTTTGCTCCCTGAGCTTTGGGTAGAAGAGGTTTGATATAGGTATCCAATTCAGGGACAAGCACTCTGCAGACTCTTACTCTCTGCACTTTGGCCAGTTGTGGCTTTCTGGGTTAATCACCATCTGTTGCATGAGAAAACTTTGCTGGTGAGAACTGAGAGATACATTAATATTCTTTTCACCTCCTGTTCTACAATGTTCCCTGAGTCTTAGGTATAGACATTGCTTTGTAGATATGTCACTTAGGACTGGACACCTCAAAGATACTTTGTAATAGTCTCCATCTGTTGCAAAAATCTTCTTTGGTGAACTGTGAGAGATACTTGTCTGTAAATATAAGGATACATATTTAGAATACAGTAAGAAATTACATTGGTCTAGGGATGTGACAAAAGTAGGTTTTTCTCTAGGATATGATTTCTCCAGCCTTGTGTATTGGCTATGCTTACAGGACCACAAGAGTTCCCTCCCATTCAGTGGCCTTAAGTCCAATTAGACAACTTTTGATTATCCCTAAGGTAAAAGTGCTACTACTGCACCAGTAGAGACTATTTTCTGGGTCGGTAATTGTGGTTCATAGACTTTACAGGTGGATAGAATCATTGATTGGTTTTCTCCTTTGGCAGTTTGCATAGTATCTCCTGATAATATGGGAGATAATCTTCAGGGAGGTGACTTCCAGGTCAGTTCCAGCTCAATTGCTCCTCATTCTGTGCCTGAAGTATGCCATGTCTTCAGCAGTAGGGTCTTACCTTCAAGTTCTGGGAGGCAATCAAGTGCTTGATACTAGCCTGTGTTATTTTGGGAGTCTCTTGGACTACCCTAACAACTCAAAGGGAAGTTTCCCCTGTCTGACACTGTGTTTTTTGTTATATAGCTTCCAGATGTATACATGCCAAACATATATATATATATATATAGTAATATTTCAGTAGACTTTTGAACTAATACACTTCCCTCTGCTCTTTCACATCACCTAAGCATTTAAATACATTATTTGACTCATAATTCTAGTGGTTGGAAGATCCAGGAAGCCTGATGCTATTCTAGTGACTCCCCAACCCCAACCAGCTATATCACATGACAGCAAAGCAGAATATTAACCAACTATATTCAGAATGAGCTGTGTGTAAGCAAAGAAGAAAAGAGAGAGTGCAAAGACTTGCTGATTTTGTAACTACTTCTCATAAGACCTCATCCATTCTTGCTAGACAAGACCCACTACTGTGTTTTAGCTCTAATCCATTTTAAAGGGCAAAGCCCCATAACTTAATTACCTTACACTAGGCTCAAGCTCTTTAAAGTTCCATTACCTCAATGCTGCCGTGCTGGGGATCAAGTTTTAGCATGTGAACCTGTGGAGGACTAACCATCTCTATATCAAAAACCAAGTCAGTTTTATGCCTGAAATGCAAGGGTGGTTCAACTTGCATAAATCAGGCAACATGATGTACCACATTACCAAAACGAAGGAAAAAAATATCACACAATCTTCTCAGTAAATCCAGAAATAGGTTTGGAAAAAATATCTTTTCACAATAAAAACAAGTCCACAGCCTAGTTTTAAAAGGAAATAAATTAACAAAAGAAGAATTAACAGAAAAATGGACAAACCCACAACTAATATAATCAGAAAAAAATCCGAAATCTTTTGCTGGCCCGTTTATTGATTGGTAATTTTATTTCCTTAGTGTATTCTGGATATTAGCCCTTTGTCTGATGTATAGCTTGTAAAGCTTTTCTTCCATTCCATAGGCTGTCTGTGTGCTCTGCCGATACTTTTATTTGATGTGCAGAAAAGTTTTAAGTTCATATAGTCCCATCTGCTAATTCTTGGGACTAATTCCTGTGCTACTGATGTTCTATTCATAAAGTTCATGTCTACCACAATGTCCTGAAGTATGTTCCCTATATATTCATCTAGGAGTCTAAAGTTTTAAAGTAAGGTCTTTCTTTGATCCATTTTGAATTGATTTTTGTACAGGTGAAAATTGTTGATTTAATTCATTGTTCTGCAGGTGGAAATATAGTTTTGTCAACACTATTTATTGAGTAGGCTATCTTTTTCCAAATGTATGTTTTTGCCTTTTGAAATAAAAATTAGATGGGCATAGTTTTGGCAATTTATTTTTGAATCCTCTAATATGTCCTATTGGTCTACTTATCTGTTTTTATACCAGTACCAAGCTGTGTTTATGACTATAGCTTTGCAGTCAGGAACTGTGATACCTCCGTCTGTGTTCTTACCCCATAAGATTGCTTTGGATATTTGTAGTCTTTAATGGCTCCATAAAATTTTTGGATTATTTTTTCTAGTTCTGTGAAATACAACATTTGAGTTTCTATAAGTATTGCACTAAATCTGTTGGTTAATTTTTGGAGTATTAGCCATTTTAACTATAATTCTGCCAATCCAGGGGTATGAAAAGCCTTTTCACCATCTAGTATCTTCTTTGATTTCTGTTTCAGTGCCTTGAAGTTTTCATTGTAGAGGCGTTTGTCTTCTTTAGTTAGGTGTATTCTTAGGTGCCTTTTTTTTTTTTTCCAGAAGAAGCCATTACAGCTTTAACATACTTAACAAGTTTACAGAGCAAAGATACATCTCTTTCAAAAGTGGTTATAAAATGTTTAGGTTCGCTGTTGAATTAATACAGTTATACAATATTGAACTCAGTAGAATCCCTGTATGACATAAAATTGAATGAGTTTTTAAACTTTTAAAAAGATCTCCATTTCATTTTGGTTGCAAATTTGAATGGGATATTTTTTTCTAGTTTCCTCCTCTGAGAGCATATTGTCAGTATATAAAAAGGCTACCTCTTATATTAATTTTGTATCCTGTAACTTTACTGTATTTATTAGATCTAGGAGTTTTCTAACAGATTCTACAGTGTATTTTTCCATAGAGAATCCTGTCATCTACAAATAAGGATAGTTTGGTCACTTCTTGTAATTTTATCCCCTTTAAGCGTTTCTCTTGTGTTAACTGCTATAGCTAAGACTTTAAGCCCCATATTAAATAAGAGGGGGGAAACTTCTCTTGTTCCTGATTTTACAGGAAATACTCTCAATGTGTCCCTGTTTAATATAATGTTGACTCTAGGTTTGTTGTATATAGCCTTTATTATTTTAAGGTATCCTTCATATATTTCCAACCTCTTCTAAACTTTTACCGTCTTTTAAAATAAGCTTTTATTAAAAGGCATGTTGAACTCTGTCAAATGCCTTTTTAGCATCAATGAAGATGATTATGTTTCTGTCCTTAAGGGTGTTTATATGGTCTATTACATTTATATATGTTGAACCAAACTTGCTGTTCTGGAATGAAACCCACTTAGTGATAATGTATAAGGTTCTTAATGTGATCCTGAATTCTGTTTACAAGTATTTTGTTGGGAGTAGTTATATCCATGTTCCTCAAAAATGTGAAATTTTCTTTTTTGTTGTTGTTGCATCTTCCTGATTTCTATATCAGAATAATACTGACTTTGTAGAGAAAAACTGATGTATTCCTTTGCTTTCTATTTTGTGGAAGTATTGGTATGAGATTTTCCCTGAAAGTTTGATAGAATTCACCAGTAAAACCCTTTGTCCTGGGCTTTTCTTTGAAGGGAAACTTGATTATAGTTTCTATCTCATTATTTGTAATAGGTATGTTTACATTATTTATTATCTTCTGGTTTTAATTTTGGTAGAGAATATCAATTTAGAAATTCATCTGCTTCTTCTAGGTTTCCCAGCTTTTTAGAATATAGGTTTGTGAAGTAATCTCTAATAATTGTATTTCACTGGAATCTGCTATATTGACACCCTTCTGGTCTCTATTTTGTGTCTTCTCCCTTTTCTTCTCCCTTTTTCCTTTTGTCAGATTTGATAAGGATTTCTCAATCTACTTTTACAAAGAACCAAATGTTTGGTTAATTTGACATATTTTTTAGTTTCTGCTTCATTAATTTCTTCCCTGGCCTTTATTTCTTACTATCTTTTGGGGTCAGGATATGATGCTTCTTGTTTTTCAAGCACCTTGAGATGCACCATTAGGTTGTTTATTTGATATCACTCAGATTTATTTTTTAACTTTATTTTATTTGTTTTTATTGAATTTTTGTGTATTTCATATAGAACATCTCAAACAATCTTAATCATCTTCATACTCCCATCCCCATCAACACCCTTCCATAGCCTCCCCTCTGTCATCCATGTTAAGGCCCACTGTGTCAAGTCAGTGTCCACAGATGTTCTCCAGTGAAAATTCATCCACTGAGGTCTAGTCAGCCTATCTACAGTCCCTTGTTTTAGGAAGATCAGCTCTTCTTCACCTGGCAGGAATCAGTTGCCAATATTTCTTCAGATAAGATTGGGATCTGCTGTTCATTTTCCCAGTTCTATGCTGGGTCTTGTCTGCCTGAGTTTGCATGGGACTTGTGTATACTGAGACTATTGCCATAGAATCTTATGAGCAGGTTCCCAGGAGCTTGTAGGACTCTGTTTTCATATGGTCATGTACCTCCTTCTTGGCTCTTACAATCTTTCTGCCCCCTCTCCCACAATGGTCCCTGAGCCTTGGGTGGGTAAAGTTTAATAAAGGACTCCTGTCCAAGGACCAGCATTCAGAAGATTCTTGACCTCTACACTTTGGCCATTTGTGACCTTTCATGTTCCTAGCCCTCTGCTGCATGAGGGTGCTTCATCAATGAGAACTGAGAGATTGATTAGTGCCCTCTTCTTTACCCCTGTTCTATGTTCCATGAACCTTAGGTATAGAGGTAGCAATGTAGATGTGTCACTTAGGCCTGGGCAATTCATAGACAATGTCTGTGTGTGACCAGTTGTGGTACTTGGTAATAGTCTCTGACTGGTGCAAAATGAGCTTCTTTGATGAGTGGTGAGTGGGATATTTGTCTGTAAATATAAGAGTACACATTTTACACAGTCAGAAATCACATTAGTCTAAGGATGTAAGAGTCTTGGGGTTTTCTCTAAGATTTATGATCACATGTGTATTTGGTTATGTTTACATTACCACAATGGAGTTTCCCCACATTGAGTGGACTTCTTAATGTGAGTCCTAATCGCTACACTTTCCTCTTAGGACTATCTTGGTAGCATCCTGGAGTTCTGATAGGTTGTGTTCTCATTATCATTTTTCACTAGGAATGTTAATATTCCATCTCTATTTTCTTGGATAACCCAGTGTTGTTTCAAGAATGTATTGCTTAGTCTTCCAGTGTTTTTGTGGTTTCTCTTATTCTTAAGTTGTACTTTCATTCCATAAGATGCAAGGAATTATCTCTTTTTTGTTTTTATTGAGATTTGCCTAGTATCTTATAATGTGTTCAATTTGGAAAAGGTTCCATGTGCTGCTGAAAAATATGTATATTTCCTGTCTGTTTGGTGGCATATTCATATATTAGTAAATCAAGTTGATCCATAGTGTATTTTAGCTCTAACATCTCTTTACCTTTTAAAAAAAATTGGAAAATCTATATAAAAACTAGACTGGGTGTTGAAGTCACCCATTTTTATTGTATCATAGTCGATATGACTTTTTATAGCTTTTAATGTTTGTTTAGGGCTCCAATATTTGGTACATAAATGTTACTATTGCTATAAATTCTTGGTGAACTGTTCCCTTTATAAACATGTAGTGTCTGTTTTTATGTCTTATAATCAGTTTCAGTATGAAGTTTATTTTATCCAATATAAGAATAGCTACACCTACTTGTTTATGTTTTGCATTTCCTTGATATTTTGTTTTGATTCCTTTATTGTTGGGTTTTTTTAATGTCTTTGCTGACTAGGTGTGTTTCTCAGAAAGTAAAATGTTAGCTAGATTTTAGGCAACAGCTCAATTCTATCTCTATGTAAATCAGACTACAGTTTTAGTATTTAGTATTTCCTTTAAAAGATTTCATGGGGCTAGAGAGATGGCTCAGTGGTTAAGAGCAATGACAGCTCTTGCAGAGGATCCATGTTCAAATCCTAGTATCCCATGTTGGCTAATAACCATCCATAACTCCAGTTCCACAGGATCTGATGCCCTCTTCTGACCTCCATGGACATTGCATAACATGGGTGCACTTATATACATGCAAGCAATACACTCATACAAAAAATACATAATACAAAAATAAAAATGCACAAAAATACAAAAAATATATAAAAATACAAAAAAAATAAG